AGAGAGAGAGAGAGATGAAAGGTGGACTAGGTGATCGGGCAAGTTAATATCGATTAAATTTTTTTACTCTTTTATACATATTGCCACTCGGATCACTTACAAGTGTCCAAAATACAATTTGACTTAATGAAAAAGCCAAGACCTCTCACTTGCATGGCATTAAAAGAAAAGCATAATCATCATGTAGAACTGAAAATTACATAAGAAAGAAATGGAAGCAACAGAAGTACAAAATATGAAACAATACCTTGCCTCAGGTTACCCCCAAGGAATTTGTACACCCTAAACCGAGTATCCTCCTTCGTTGGCGTACGAGATCTTGGGTCAAGAGCACACCTCACAATTAAAGAAGCCTAGGCAAAACTCTTAGAGAGCATTACATGGGGTTTCTTTGACCAGGGCTCAACACATGAGCATGAGGCAAAGGCCTAGGGCTAGGGCTTGTGTGGCTTGGGTGTGCCACCCCTTAGGGTTAGCTCTTTCCTAAACCCTAATTTGAATGAGAGAAGAAGAGAGAGAAGGCTTGAGTGGGGGCACGTCCCCTTTAGTTGCTTAGAGAGAGATATATAGAGATGTAAAATAGAACCCCCATAGTTAGTATTTATAGACAAGATGCTAGGGTTTATAGGGTTAGGGTTTTTCCATTATCATGAGGTTTAATCTTGACCTTTGATTTTGAAGACCTATGGGGTGAAGAGATCTCAACCATTTATTCCCAAAATCAACCATCATAATTAAAGGAAGGAACCTTATCCCTCAGTTTCCAAAACTCCATTCCCCTCAAATATTTTGTGTAGAGAAAGTAATCAATCAATCAAAATTATTGTCTTACACATTCCTATTTTGAAATCAATCAAAATCAATTTCTTACACTATCCTATTTTGAAATCAATGACAATTAATTTCTTACATCTTTCTATTTTGAAATCAATCAAAATCTCTACACAAAAAGGTTTCTTAAAATATCAAGTCAACATGTGGCATAATTGCCATATTTCAATTTAGGAAAGTATGTAGGAGGTGGGTGGCCATGTGGGCATTACCTCCCCACAATATGGTGGGCCTAATGAACCTAGTTAATTTTCAGATAATAAAATAATTTTTATAAAACCTCCAAATATTTTATGTTTCTTTCTGATTAATATAAATGCAGGAAATTAATTTTTCTCTGTTTAAAAATCATATTTAATAAAATAAAATACCTAGAGAGGTCTAGAAATTCATTTTAATTATCTGAAATATAATTAAAACATATCTAAGAAAGTTTGATGGGAATTGGATCCATAGAGTTAGGATTACGAAAAAAACATTGAGGACTCCATCATTTCTAGAGACCGCATCTCACTGCACGTTCTCAACCCTTCGTAGGGGTTCATGATTGGACCATCAAAGTCAGCCAATAAGTGGAGAAGATACGATCCTAGACCATGGATTACAAGTACATCTCTGAGGATAAGTCCATGGCCCATTTCAGCAGTATGCTTCATGGGTCTTCCAACACAGTCCAGAGTTGCAGGGAGTCTTCTCTTCAATCACCCTTTGAAGCCAAATTGCAAAGTGACAAATTTTCAAAATGGTCTAATTGCAATTTGGCTTGGAAATCAAATGGTCCCCAATATGTGCACTTGGAAGTTGGAATAGAATAGGCCAAGGGTAATTGCCATGTTTGATATGCCCCACTTTCTTATAATCATTTTGATCACATTCTAACATGTGCCCTTTGTTAATGCATTTGAGATTTGGTAATGTGTTCATATATTTGTATTTCAGCAACTTCACTCGGTTCTATGCACAAAATGAACGTACTCTGCGATGATCGATTGAAATATATTCCCTAACCATCTTGCAAAATCATATCTCTAATCTCTGTGCTAAAACTACTTTTGCGAATTCATCACAGGTGCCTTGTCAAGGATTGGTTTTGAAAATTCTGAGAATATGTTAGTTAATGTCATTGTTTTCCAGGTTAATTGACATTGGATCATCTTTTTGTTTTGATATCTTGGAACCTGATCCTTGAGCATAATTTCCAGGGTGGTTGCCAAAATGAGCTCTGTGATAGAATCAAGCAGTTGAAGAGAGCAAATAACAACACTAATTAAAGTTGGTACAGAAGTACCAAATTATAATGATACCGATGCGAAGTTAAAGCAACAGAATCAACAATGCACTCCAAAGTTGGACAATGAAAATGTCAACATTGTAAATTGGATGTACAGGGACGAGACTGAATTTCTCTGTCTTGACAACCATAACAAAGTAGATGATTCTGGCACAGATTATGGAAATCCCGATGACGATGGCGAGTCCTTTGATGATAATGATAGCTATGAAGATGAAGATGGAGAGGAATCAGGTATTGCTGAGACTTCAACAAGATTGTTAATGAGCCTAGAAGAAAGTGAAAATAAAGCGATACAGTTCCACAGACTAGAAAAATCAACTGAAGCTCTCGCGGCACACACATGTTTGAATGTGAAACAAGAAGAGCATGGAAATTTTAGTGAAGGAAAGCTGTTGCCTGTTGTTAGAGTAGATAAACATGGTGGAAATGTAATCAATAAGAGGGAGAATGGAAAGCATAAATTCAAAGTCAGTAAAAAACTCAAAAGATACAAACCTTTTTCGGGATTGAGCTGTTCCGGTCATGAAAATCCACTTAAGGGGTCAGGAAATGTGTTTTCATATAGAAACCCCACTAAGGTTCCCTTCTGCTCAAGGGAAGTCAAAAGAATTATGGAATCTGAATTGCTTTCCTTAAAAAATGCTCAGACTCACACTATGCGGAAAATTATAGTTTTTGCTTCTCTTGGTATACGACATGGATGTGAAGATATGTACGAATTGGATTTTAATCAGTTTAGCATATTACGGAAAGGGGAGCCATCTGTTTCTCTAGAAAATCCTGGGGTATGCAGTTCTTTATGCTTTGATCTTTAGCTTTATTTTCCGTAGGTTTAATATTTGGGTCTGCTGCTCTGTTTAGCTGTCCTCTTTCTGTTGTTTGGTTCATTTTATGGGACTTCTTGCTGTCTGCATTTGTGAGTTTATTGTTAATTTTCTTTCAATTTTGTCAACTTAAATTTTATTTCAAATCAGGTTTTAGATTTATGGTCTTGCAAGTGATGATTCAAAATTGGAAGGGGAAAACACTAGGATGAGTATCATGAATGGGTTCTGAGTGCAATTGGTTATGATCTCTCATAGCATAGGTTGACTGCTGTGTTTCTTATTGAACACTACCTAGTAAGTAGATATAGTCATGCATGGAAAACAAACATTTTACGAATATTATAATGACTCAAGGATGGATGCCGGTTGCCAACATTGGTTCGGATGAGTTCATGATTTTGTTTGGTTTTATTAAATAGAAACATCTTTTCTTTCAAACGCCAACTAATACTTAGAGGCCAAACTCATACTCATATAAATTAAAGTTATAAAAGATGAACATCATATATAGAATAAATCGGCATTCTATAAAACAAATTAAGTTATTTTGGTTCAGTTCATGTTCTGTGCTCTAAAACTTGCCAGTCCAACTTGAACTCAGGCTATGTTGGGGTTTGTGGCTTTTAAGGCCGGCATGTAAATATAATAAATCATAGTGAATTCTACACTTCTGTGGGAGTGTACTGTGGTTGACTAACGTAGGGTTTGACAGTCTATTGCCTAGGTCATGTCCAAAACTTTTAGCCTTGGGCATGTGGCACTACCATTGAGGGTTTATATAGGGACATCTCTTGTTAAGTTTGGAGAGATTTTTAGGCCAGGAGAGCTGTGTGGTCTCCATTGTTCGAGCTTTTTTCCTTTAGTTATATATCAATAATAGTATTCCTTCTGATGTGGCTTTGGAGGTCACAATTTGACATGTTCCTCCATTATTTCCAACATTGATATTCTACTGAAAGTTTTTAGGTTAGGCAGAAGACTACATCCTTGGTTAGGCTGGAATATGCGGCCTCTGCCTCTTCGTCCATGGCCTCTATTGCCATGATCACTTCCACCCTCCTCTTTCTCTATTATATGATGGAGGTTTGCAGGCCATCACTACACATCTTGAGGATTTTGAGCAATTCATGACTAGACTGTGAGGTGGAACTGTAAAAAGTGTTCAGCAATATTTAGGCAACTTTTATTAATATTCCTTCCACATACACAAGACTCAATGTTCTAAAATTCGCCCTCCCGATTGCCTTGGAAATTTTTTAAAAACACCTAGGCACTTGTTAGGTGGGGCCATTACGCGGCTTGCGTTTGGGCGCCTGCCTAGGCAGGCAAGGCCCCTCCTCGGCTCTATAGTCTAGGTGCCTGCCTAGGCGCCGCCTCATGACAAGTTGAAAAAAGGCGAAAATGGGTCTCGATGAGGGTTAAAAAAAGTCATTTCCCACCCCAAAAAATGGGGAAAAATGATTGAGGGGGGTATTCTAAACCCCCAAAACCAAAATCGTAGCTTTTAGGGTGAGAAAAACTCCCTCAAAACCACTATTTTGAGATTTATCGAAAGATTAATGACTTTTTGATTTTTTCGATTTCTTCACAAAACAAAGGCAATAGGTCGTGGGTGGATTTGGAGCTTCTAGTAGTTGATTTTGAGGACTTTTGGCATTCCAATAGATGAGGTTTGCACTGACATCAATTTGATTTTGCTATTTTTAAAGTATTATCATATTTGAAAGGGGGTTTTGATTTGGTTTTGCTACAATATATTATGTTGTGGATCATGTGGTTTTTCTTTTACTTTTTTTTTTTTAATGATATATTTATGTGTTTATAACTAAAATTGATTTTTTTGTGATTAATTGAATTTTTTCTCATTTGGACGATGAAATTGAGCATATAACGTATGGGGGGGGTTTTCAATTTTGGTGAGGGCACCTTGTCTTTGGGTGGGCGCCTAGGCGGCTAGGCACCCAAACCATCTAGGCGGCCAAATCTGCATTTTTGAACATTGACAGGCCTAAATACGAGCAAAACCCCTGACCCTTTATCCTCTAGAATCTCGTAGACCCTCATGATTCCCTCGGATCGATGATGCACTAAAGACAAATACCTTCACCTCGTCTTTGTTTTGGAAAGATTTTGGAGGCTAGAGTCACTTTTTTCTGACCTGCCTTCTTCGAGGTTTCTTTCAAACACAACGCAGCAGAAAACACTCTCTAGGTTTTTGTCTAGGCCCCACGCACTTCGCTTTTTTCTCTTTTATTTCAATGACTACAATGGCCCTTATACATGATAAATAGCTGATAGTTTGATGGCGGCAACAAAATTTTCATGAAGGTTTTTCTTCTGTTATTGATACTATTCCTTTGTAGATTAGGCTTTTGATGTGCTAATTGTTCGCAGCTGCTTCTAGTTTTAAAGTTACTCAAATGTTGGTGACCTACAAGATATCTGAAATTTCATATAATGTGAACTATTATTGACTTTATTAGGGCCATGGTTATTGTCGTTCACCTCAAGGAAGAATAATACATAGTACGCTTGAAAATTATGATATGTAAACAGACACATGGAATACTGCATTTGTATGTATGTTATGAAACTCACTTGAACCGTCTATGGTGATCCCTTTTGTTTTTCTAAATCATTGAAGTAGTAGCTTTACTATGTCATTACCTGCCTCCCAAAGTCTCTCAAGTTTCATCTCTCTTTACATAGTGAGTAGCTCATTGCATAATATGACAGAACCCCAGTGGATATAATATGTGTTTGATATACAGGAGCATGTTTTATATGAAAACCCTGGTGTCCAGAGGAAAATATTTTACCCTAATCGACAAAACCCAATGCTTTGTCCTGTACAAATACTCGAAGAGGAGAAGGGCATGCGGCCATCTGATGCAAGTTGCCCATCTTGCTTATTTTTGTGCATTAAATAAGGTGGGAGGACACGAAATCTTCCTCAAAATGAGTAAGTCTAATAGGATTTGTCATATTTGACCTGTGATTTGGGATCACTTCTTTCAGATATTCACAGCTTCTACCTGAATTATATTTCCTCGTAAACAATATATTGCAAGGCGGCCACCTTTTGCTCATCACGGAATGATATTTTTACAAATCAATGACATTCTCGGAATGAAATTGTTTGCTTTTAACAAATAAAAATTATTATTGTCATCCGATTTCATACATCCATATCTCTCTTTTGCTACATACACGTGCGTGTGTCTCGACATTCCTCACCCATACTTGTGCACACAAATATCCACTCCCACATTTTGCATCCATATGCACACCACATACACACGTCTGTGGTGTGGTGTCAGTGTGTGTGTGCATGTTTGTGGGTGAGATACATTCTGGGGGTTTTGCTTCTACTTCAGTAGCACTATCATTCCCAAAGGCAATGTTTCTAGTTCTGTCTTAATTTGCCAAGAATACCTCTTTGCTTACCAGTAATGTGGCTTTACTAACAGGCACCCATAACTACATGTCATGGATATAATGCCTCAAAAATCACGTGTTATTTGATTCTCTGGTAGTGGTATCATTTCTCAACAAGAATCTTTGGAATGTGTCCTGATAGAGCATGTGGTTGTGTTATTCTGAATGGGGTCCATGTAAACCTCAGTTATAGGTAGAGTCGTTTGTTCATGAGTTTTCTGGTCTATCTAAACATAGTCTAAAAACACTCGTACACCAATTTCATGGCTTATAATTAACTTTCAACATATGCCATCCACTTTTTAATATACTGTTACTATTCCATCCTTGCATCGCAGATGAAGGGTAAACAAAAGAAACAAGAATTAGAATTAATAATCCACCTAATCAATTGTTACATCAAAGAGAAAACAAGAGGTCATTGTGAAATAAAGTTTATTTTATCAGAATGGGTTGTAATATTAACCAGAACAAAAGAAAGTCATTTTGGTACTCCCAAATAATAGGGTCCTGGTTTCCATTGTGTTGGTATGGTATGTGGCACCCATGGCATGTCCTGATCATCACCTTTTTTTTTGCATTTGCACCCTTCTTTTTTTGGTGAGGATCATGTTGAGCATTGTGAATTGACAATCCACGCATTCTGTTCTTTGTATAGTCTACAAACATGCGAGAAATCATGAATGGAATTCTTAGTATGCTTTCCACCATCTCATTTACTCTATGTATGCCTAATAAATTACAACCTCATGTTATTTTCTAGATTTCATACGAGTTATTGAAAACCAGAGATCATTCTGATCCACTATGAAATGATGGTTAAACATTCATGATACTTTCCATAGACCTTCAGGTGATTATAAACTATTAGATTAAAATTTATTAGCATGACTGTACCGAATATCATTTCAGAGTTGTGGAAATTGCTAGTGGAAAGCATGTTTTGAAGTGCAAGTTCCTGTTCTTTCCTTAGGTTACCTTGGTGTGTGGGACTGCTTTGACATATCAAATTCAAACCGTGGTAAAATTATAAATCGATTTTATAATAAGTCTGAATGAAATTTTCTCCCTAATATATGAAATCACCACTCTTGTAATTCATTGATATTGGTGATGTAGGGTATAAATCTAGGTTTATTTTTCCCAACAGGCCTGGACTTCTTTCCTAAGCATGTCTAAAGACATGGGCAAATTCAATAATGCATACCAGTTGCAGATTACAAGTGATACCCAAATTAAACTTCAGATTGTTAATTCAAATGGACTTTGAATTGACAAACCATCTGAGTTATAATTCCTCTCTTTTAGCTTACCTAATCTTGTCTGTGTAGTTCCATAGTGACTGTTATCGAAGTCATTTAGTGACTGTTATCGTAGTCATTCATCTTCTAGCTTGGATTAGTTAATTTCATTCTTCTGGTCCTTGTGCTTTTCAACTCAATAGTGTCTTCCTTGTTTCTGACCTGTCCATGGACTTAGAATTAGTTGGGAAGCTTGTTGATTTGGCTTGTCATGGTTACTTCCTGCTCTCTTGTTGGTTTGCACATGGCCATGGAAACATTGATAGGAAGATCATGGAAAGTTCAGATACTTGTATTTACTTCTTCCATTCTTCAATGAAACAGTTAACTTCATAAAAAAAAAAAAAGATCATGGAAAGTTCAGGTTGTTTCATATGGACCAGTTCAAAATAACTAAATCCTTGGACTCCTCTTCCTATGTCTGTGTCACACTCCATTGACTTGTGGAAGTGTTGACTGAGACACCCAAGTCATGACATGCTATGGATTCTGTCTCAAATCAGATTTCTCGCCGTTTGTTAGCTATCTAAAATTTTATTTTGTGGTTTGCACTGCTATAGTTATATGCTAGTAATGAAATCTGTACACTTATTTCTAATAGTAATATGCTCTTGAAATCATTCATTTAGGTATATGGATATCTTCTCTGTCCACTCATGACATTCTAGGTATTGTATTAGCCTTTGTTGATGGCCTTCCTTGCTCCATCTGAAGAGGTTTTATGACAACTTTATTGGGCGTGAATCTTGAAATCCTATTTTGGAATGGTACACAAGCAGGTTGATACAAAGCTTTAAATATTCAGATGAGATTTTGAGGTGATTATTTGCCTTCTATTATTCAATTTTTTTTTCTCAGAAGTTAAGAACAACAAAACACTTTATTCTTCTCATATGACATGTTTTCATTATTTGAGATGTTCTCATTGTATAGTGAACTCTCTCTCTACCCCAAGTCAATAACTTCCATATCCTTTCGTCCCTTCGGATGTTGCCTACTAAACTGCTATTACTTACCCCAAGGCAATAGCAGCCATGTGCTTGTCATCCCTCCACGATGTTGTTCGATCAATTGCTACGGCATAATCAAGTATTAACAACCATGGGTACCTATGCAGCCACTATCTTCCATATTTTATCATTTATGAAACACCTTTATGGTATATAACGATGTCTCTTATTGTTGAAGCACACAAAAACACATTGTTATTATAGTTTTCCAAAGATATATTTATATATGGATTATATTCTAGAATACACCACACTAACAGTAAACTTACTATTTACTACTCAAAAAAATTTGACCATAAAATGTCTTTATGTGTTCAAAAATGACTTTTCACTATAAATAGTTCATGTATTTTAGGAAAGGTATTTTTACCTTTTTAAAATCGTTCCAAAACTCAATTTTAAATTTGAAAAAATTCTTTTGACTTTTTGAATGATGAGTGGATCTTTAAAGCAATTTAAAATTATAAATATGCCACTTTCAAAATTTTAAACAAGCAATTTTTTAATAAATATTTTATATTTGTAACGGCATTTTGGTTTTACTCAGGTTATGACCCTTGATAGAGAAGAATGGAGGAACAAGATTCATGTAGACGACCCCAAATAATTGGGATAAGGCATGGATGATGATGTTGTAAGGGCATTTTGTCGTAAAAAATTTTGGAGTAGGAAATTCTAAGTTCACAATTAGTATGGTGTATTCTAGAATATCCCTATGAAGGGGAGTATCTGATGGGAAGTGGAAACAGAGTGAATCTTAAAAAGTTTTGAGAAGGGAGGGAGGGAGGATGGTATTGGCTAGTTTTGTTGAACTATGTATAGAATTTTACCTTAGTGTTAAAGCATGGCTATAAGAATAGATACTCTTTGTATTGGCCCTGTAATTTTTGTAAAGAAGAGAAAACAAGAAGCCTTCAAATATCCTGGAAATTCTTCACATACTTATCTGGAAAGTCTTCACATGCTTATCTTCTGGAATCTGGAATAATAGTAGTTTGTGGCTGTACCATGTGCAGTTGTCTTAGCCACTATAGGGGCTTTTCATCATTTACGCTACTTGCTACAATCTGCCTGCTCACAGAGTTTACTTCCAAGCAGTAAACTAAACTGTAGAATTTGAAGTTTAATATTGTAATGAGTAACATGAAAATCATAATGTTTTGAAGCATTTGGATTTTTACAGATATGTCAGGCAACATATGGTTAGAAACAAGTTGAAGTCTTTTGTTCCACTCATGTGTCAAATGGCATTGCTCGTGAATATATGTAGTGGAAGCTTCTTCTTCAAAGCCTTGGGCATCACTGTTCTTTTCATGGCTGGCTTACCTGATGCCTTAGTACAAAAAGAGACCAAATACCGTAACTTGGACCTGCTTCAAAAATACTACAGGTAAAATACTGTTATAAAAAAAGCTATATTTATGCATGAAATGATAGCCCTCTCAAGCTTCTGTCTGCATATAAATGATGCCCTAGGTTCAAATTGTTGTAACATCTCGAGAAAAGCAGAGAAAACTCGTTTATGTTCGTGTGTGTATATATATCAATCAATCGAATATCTTCATGGATCCTAAAAATAAAGCCTGTGCCCTTGATCTTGAAAAGTAATATTCCATCTTCAAATTATTTATTCTTTGAGAAAGTATTCCATTTGCAGGACAGACGACGATGCTGAAGGGGAGTTGTTTCATCCTCTCCCGGAGCATAACACTGTAAGATCCAAAATTTTCCACTTAGAATCTCTGTGATTAAGTGTGACATTGCATGTTATTTAGCATGAAACGCAGTTCTATCCTCAACAGCCTCCCAATAAACATCTGATAATTAAAACCATATTGTACAGCAGGCTGTGCCTGACCCAGTGCCATTGTCAGGAAAAGGAATCAATGGAGTGCAAAAACTGCCCAGAAGGAGACAGCAGCAATCCCCTCTACCCATCAAGCTGCCTCTGAATACACAGAGATCTACAGCTATCCCACCATCAAGACCAACATGTCCCACTTCTCAGTTTAGGCCTACGAATTATTCATCTTTTCAGATGCACCCGATCTCAGCCATGCAAACCAATAGACCCCACACCCAAACTCCACTAACAGACAATCTATCAGTTTCAAGTTCTCCTTTCATCACTAAACCTGCACTCCACTTGGGTCAGTTCCAACCACTCTACCCCCTATATTCACCATATCCGATGCAACACATGGTCAACCCTTACATCCTCTTGACAATGTGGTCGACTGTACATCCTTATTCTCCCTGCCCTCAGCACTGATCCTTTGCATGCCAATCCTTCACGGCCCCTGCAAAGTGCATATCTCAACCTTGTCATTCTTACTATGGACATCCCCCCTACATCCAATTCACAGAGGGGGCAGCAAGAGATGGATTGTTGTCAATGGATTCTGATAGTGATGACTCGGAAAGCAGTTCAAGTGAAACTGAACAGATAAAGTCTATCACAAGCTATATTTAGTATATGACAGGGAGATAATTACGAGCTTGTGAAAGGCCCAACAGGTTGCAGTAAGGGAAAGTAAGGGCGAAAAAAATTCTTGCAACCAAAATTTCAAAAAGAACCATCTCAATTTTTACAAGTTGTAACATGCAGGATGTTGGGAAGTCTTGAATCGGAGGATCTCTGCTGGGCTTGTTTAATAAACTCTAATGTAGTAGTTCAACGCATGAGCCTTTTGGAAGTGTGGGGGTCTTAGCAAAGCTTTGGAACTATATTTTAAAAGAAAAAGCAGTGATGATTTTTTCTGTTTTTTTTTTTGGGTCGTTCAGTTGTAGGATTTGAACTTGGGATGTACTATTGCAGTTACCATCATCTCCACCAAACAAAGCTCAAACCTGAATCCTTACAGTATTTAGGGTCACAAAAATGCACAAATGCTTACAAACATCAGACCCATGTATTTATGCGCGTGCTCATTGATTGTGCATCCAGCCCCAGTTGAATTCTCTCTACCAGCTCAAACGTGGTGTGTATAGGAAGGAAGATAATGAATTTGAAATACACATTTGCAAAAAGAAGCATTGAAGTTTATTTATTAGCATGTAGCAAGGATATGAAGCATTTTAGGGGCATGGAGTCATATTTCAGAGAAGAAAGTTTTGTACTTTCCTCTCATTTTCAAGTATTCCTAGAAATTGTAGGGGTGGCAATGGGTTTGGTCAGGTATGGATTAACCTGGACTTGAACCTGACTGGACTCAACTCGGGTCTAGGGTTTTGGACCCGCACCCAACCCTTTGGCTCCAAAACATGAACCCCAACTTGGACCCGGAATGGGTCCTGCCGGGTGGTTGTGGTCGACCCAACCGACCCCTCAGTTATTGAAATCAAGTTAGGAAATGGATTTGGTGGGTGCCCCTGACCTAATGTTACATTTGGTCCCACGGGAAAAATTCCAAGTTAGGAGCATCGGTTGAGCCATTATTCTTAAATCATATTTATTCTTCTCCTAAGATCAATTTTATTAGAAAGGAAAAAGGTTCAGGGCTCAATATTTTTCTAATCAATTTCCCCACCAAAATTGACTCATAATTTTTCATTTGGTTAGATTTGGGGTTTAAGAGCATAAAGTAAATTGATTCTCATCTTGAAGCTGATCGCATGATCAATCACATGGTTTTGTCCACGAGCCAATTGTACAATGTGTTCTTACAAGTACTACACTCTTGTCTCAAGAAATTCTTCAAGAATGAATGATATGAGTTTCATTATTTCCTTGCTGGAGCTGTGAATCAGGTCTGATCAATTTGGTCAGGTATTAATTGGAAATAGACGTGTTTCAGGTTGTCCATCTCAATCTCTGCCTTTATATCTATATATATCCCCAGAGGTTGTAACCTATAATGAGTAGTAGTATAGTCGACTATCAGCCGTCAAATCTTGATTGGATGGTTGAAAGTACATGCTATTATTTGAATTTTAAATTTTTTGAAGATCTTGTTGAGATGAAAATTTGGCATGTGTATTAGATACTAGGGTGCACAAGGAAAAATATAAAACAAATATTTTCTTATATTTAAAATGAGCAAAGTACCCCCAAAAAAATGATGAGGGTAATTTGATCATTTAAATTTTTTAAAATATCTCTTTTAATATTTTTATATGGTGCGTGATGGTGACAATTGTATAACCCAAAATTTTAGCTTATGCCAATTTGTAAAAAGGATTAAAATTTAAATTGTGATATGCATTCTCAACTATTCGATCTGATAGTTGGGAGTTAGCTTATGTTGCTATTCATTTTGAAAAATATTTTTTTTTATATTTTTTCTTGTGCACTTTATTTTTTTAGTACATCCACAAATTTTCATCTCGTTCCAATTTGTAGAAAAAAGATTAAAGTTCAAATAGATCTAACAGTTGGGAGCATGACTTAAGCTACTATTCATTATAGGTCTAGACCTATTGATAGGTTTTTCTATATGTGTGTGTGTGTGCTGCGCACCTACAAGATGCTTATAGACGACTTAATTAGGCACTAACAAATGAGGTACTGCGATGTATGTTATTAGCGAACGACATAGTTTTGATCAATGAGACTCGAAGCAACATCAACACAAAGTCAAACATTTGGAGGGATGCTCTAGAATTTAACGGTTTTATTGAGACAAAATATATAGAATGCAAGTTTAGTAATAATACGAGTAGAAATGAGGAAATAGTTAAGATTAACGATCAAAAAATAAAAAAAACAATGCACTTTGAAATTCTTGGGTCGACAATATAGGAAAATTGAGAGATTGAAGAAGATGTAATACATAAAATTAGAGTTGGGTGGACAAAGTAGAGATGTGCAACTAAAATTTATGTGATCGTAGTATACGAGTGAAGATGCAAAGCAAGTTCTACATAACATATGTGTGAGACTAGCTTTTCTTAGATTTTCGAAAAACTCGTTTTTTTTATAAAGGGACATAAAGGTATGCGGTAAAGAGAGATATACTCTTTCCCTCAAAATTTCTAATAACCACTTAGAGTTTAGCTAAATCTCCTAGACCTTTGAAATTGGTTTTATTGTATGTGGATGGAAAGATACCGTGTCCCAAAATTTCTATATTTCTAACATAAGGAGGAGATAAGCACAAATTAAACACTCTATTACCCATTTCATTTGGGACTCTCTCTCTCTCTCTCTCTCTAAATCCCTGTCTTGCATGCTTAGAATTTTAACAGGGATCTCTCTTTCCTGTCTATATGGGATCTCTCCCTCTAAGCTAAGAGCCTCTCTCTCTCTTTCTCACTAAACCTTCTCCATTTTCTTTCTAAACAACACCACGTCAAAAAATTTGAGAAGAAATTATAAAATCAAATAAATACAGAAATAATTAAATAAAGATCCCATAAGATTAGAAACAAATAATTGGAGCTAATACACCATAAAAACATATGAAATAATTTGTAGAAAATAGGAAGCATATCTCACAAGTCACAACCAACTTCAAATCTTAACCTACAGAAGTTCGACCATTTTTGTATTACCAGTCTGTTTCTCTCTCATTTCAACCCTCCAAAAAATCTTATCTTTTCAACAATGTCCTCAAAAAATCTTGACGTTTTTCCCCATCTGAAAGAATGCCCTTGAAAAGTATAGCTCCGAAAAAAGTTCTTTTTTTTTTTTGAATTTATAAGTGGTCAATATTTATTTGTTTCTTTGTAATTACAAGTTTCAAATTATTTAAAAAAGCACTTGTATGATTTGGTGATCCTTCAAATTATTTAATGCAATTTTTATATTTTGACGAACTTATAATAATTACATATAAGGTTACTAGGCAAATTTATGGGTAAAAATTACTTTAAACTTTATAGTTTATCAGCTCTTTAAATAAAAAAGTAAAATGAGTCATTAAAGAAATTTAAATTTGGGCCATTGGAAGTACATTCCATCAACCTATGGGCTGACATTTTAGAAAGATGTAGACCTTAGGAGACTTTTTTCTTTTCTTATTTTTTTAGATGACTTTATTATCATCAGATGAACAAAGTTAAAAAAAAAAAAGATTTGAAGTTTGTAAAAGACTAGATATTGGGATTCACTAAATGGATGGTCTAGATTTGTTGTTGGAAGGGACTCATTTAAACCACATTTAGGATACAAATTGAATTTTATTTTTTTAGAGATTGATTATTAGGGATTAAGAGACGGTGCATGTAAGTTTTAGGTTCATATAAATGCCACAAACATGATTTTTTAAAAGGAAAAGTTTATATAGAGCCAAGGCTTTAAACAATCAAATTTGAGCTTACCTCAAAACCTTTATTAGAAGATGTTGTTTTGATGCCCAAATATCCTCAAATTGATCATTTCGACATCAAGATGCATGGACATGAGGAAAAAATGGATTGCAAGTTTTGAAAATAGTGTATTTTGTAGCGCGTTTTTGGATCGTCAATTTTTAAGATTTTCAAGTTTTTATAGATATGTCAATCTACACTATTTTTGAAGCTTTAAACTTTATAAATAAAAATGAAAATATATTTTAAGGCTATCACAAAGATTTCCAATATTGAAACCGCAATTCTTGACATTATTTGAAGGTAGGCTCTAATTTGATTGTTTAGATCCTAGGCTCTATACAAATCGCACTTTTTTTTAAAAGCATGGTTTCATTATATTACAATAACATGGTGACATATATATATATATATATATATATATATATATATATATATATATATATACTACTATATAAGTAAGTAAGTATTATATAAACTAAAAACTAAACTAAACTTAAACGTAAACTTAACAACTAACTAAACTAACTAAATAATAAACT